TGTTTATTATGTTAAATGAGAGATTATTATAGCAGGTTAATAGTATATATATTTGTAAACAGACTCAACAGGTATACTTTGTGATGTATGCTATGCGGGTGTGAGATTTTGTATCTGTCTATAACATTGGAAACAAACAATTGGTACAAATATTATATATGGTACAGGGTATGAGACAGGTTTACCATCATGCTTAATAACTAAGGTGATGGGTGGTATTGTTGCACCTGTGGGAGTAATTAATGTGTTATTAATCTAGATTATATACATGTAAACAGATGTATTAAAAACCTAGTCGCGTCTTACTCTTGGGAGACCGGAATGGGGCGTGACAGTGTTGATCTCTGAGAGTGATTATCTTGGTAATTACTCCACACGTACGATAATCCTTCTGGACTCCTTGAACTCTAGACTAGGCCGAATCTATGAACTGACCTTGACCCACTTCGTAGCTAATTTGAGCTTTATTTAATTAATTAGGCTTGACCCAATTTAATTTGGGCTCATCAACTTGAGGCTTAAATAAAAGTGAGACATATACTTCGAAATTGATGAGACAAAGTTTAAACGTGTTCTACTCACTGAGGAGATTAACATGGTATATTTATTTGTCTAAATTAAATGATAAATTATGTCTAAAAGTGACAAATTTGAAGTGATGAAATAAACAAAGATTGACATAGTGAAATAACATTTGTCCCACATTATAAGAAGATCAACACTTTGGTGAGTTAATATAGTCCTAATTGACTTTATGGGTTGGGTACCACACTTTTGTGAGCGAAAGCGAGCGCTTACAATACCTTGATTATCACATGTGCGTTGCCCGTCTCGCCACGCCATAACCACAACCCGACAGGGCTTGGGCTTGGGCAAAAAATGTATAATCTTTTTAGACAAAATTCATTTGGTGCAGTGCAGGTTGTGAGTCAATCCAAACGGTCCAATTCGCGAGTCGGTCTCTGTCTTCCAATATAAATTTAAAGTCCAACTGGATTTTAAATTTTATTCTCGTTAAATTTGAAATAAGTGCTAAATTGAAGAAGCTTGTATATTTGCTTCAGAAAAAAGTACCTTCTATCTTTATGGCTGATTGGATTAAAAGAATATGTCTCTTCAATCCAAATAGTGACAACTTATGTCTCTTCAAGCAATCTGAACAACCACAAAGATTCTATAAATAGACAATCCTCTAACCATTTTAATTCATCACAATTCTAGATTTCAGTTGCAGAAATTCTTCTCTCTCTGTGCATATTATTGCATTATTTTTTTGGTTCAGTTCAAGTATAAACATACGTTATATAAAACCCGGGTAAATTTGAATTTTTATGAAAAAATGGCAAAACGGTAATTTGTCACTACGGTACGGGTTGAAAATCTAATTTTTTATAGAGTTCGGATGATAAAACGGACCTCACCGTTGAATTCATCTCGCGAAATCTAGTTATTCAGTCAATTTTCATCAAATTTCGAGACAGTTGAATTTTTTTACGTTTTACGAGGCAATCGAGTGTCGCGTGACCTAAAAACGAAATATGAAATAAAATTTTAAAAGTTAAAAAATAATTTAAAGGAAGTTCTTATAAAAATATTTTAAACTTGAACTGGGACAAAATTTAATTATTTCAGGACGAAATCGAACTCATATATGGGGGACGTGTGGTACGATGAGGACCAAATATTTAAAGGGTATAAATAAGAGAGAAAAATCAGATTTCTCCCCATACCCATCATATTATCTAAAAAATATAAAGAAGAGAGGGAAACTCTACCTTCTCTCTACGATCTACGACGCTACGTTGCTCGAATCGACTCAAGCCAAGAACAAAAGTTGTTTTACTTATCGAGGGCTACACAATCATACCAAAAAAAAGCATAGATTTGGGTGAAGTTCCAAAAATAGACTTGGAGAAATCAAGGGTTTTAGGTGTGATTTGGGATTCTTAGAGCTTTCTAACATCGTTAATGCTTCAAGAGATAGAGTTTTCTCCTTAATTAGGTTTATTTTCAACCTAGGGCTGTGATATGGAATGAGTAGGCTGTTAGAGATGTATAACACTTGTCTATTGTTGTTAAAATTGATGAAATATGTATTAAAAATATATAAAAATTAATTCTAGCTTAAATTGGTGTGTAGAAATTACTAACTTGTAATTTCTTGAAAAATGGTATTATATGGGCATGCTATGTGTCTATATTGTGTTTTGGTGAATTAAGTGTGTTATTGACGTAGATTATGGAATAACATGCTTAGAATTGATGTTGGTATATGTATATGATATATTGACATTGTGATTATTGATGGTTATTGAAATGTTTATATTGTGCACATGGCATATGGAACATGTTGTTAAAATTGCAATTAAGATCTTAGTTGCATAATGATGAGAATTATAAATTGTAAATATACATTTGCATAAGCACGGGAAACATCACATTTATGGGCATTTGACATGAGTGTGGGTGTGTGTGCATGTTGTTGGATCAAACATCATCCTTGGTGGTTGATAAGTGGGCTCAGTACAATCGGACCAAGGTTTAACAGAGTCGTACAGTTGCATGAAAAACTTATGTCGGGTATAACAAGAAGGGATAGATACTTCACCGGTTATGAGATCCTGTTGCTAGTTTATACACTTTCGCCAGTGAAAGTTCAAAAAAATGTATCGGTGTGCGGAGCTGGCGGTGAGACACCAAAATCCCGCTACTCAACAAAGACACATGATTCATTTTTTTTAAAAAAAATTGTTGGATGTGCAACATCAATGACAAGTGCTTGGAATGTCCGATTTTATACTCATAATATTATATGGGTGATAGGAGTCGGTAAAGGCTCAGGTTGATTTGTATTTGTGAATCTTATCTCATAACATGACATGACATAAATGATCCATCATTAAATTACATATTATTGAATGGATGATTGTTGGTTTTTGAATTTGTATGTGAACATGTCATATGCATCTAGGTTGAGGAGTAGCCTTTTTAGGAGATACCCTATTGAGCGTGGCTCACCCTTTAGCCAGTAGAACTTTTCTAGTAGAGTTCTCTTACTGGTAGAATGTCACTGTTCCTACCGACAGAAGAATTCCAATAGACTATTTCTACCAGTAGAATAGAAACTTCTTCTACCGGTAGGTTTTCACAGATTTTCTTAAAAATTGAAGTTCAGTGCACAACTTCTATCGGTAGAATTTTGAACACTTCTACCAGTAGGTTTTCTTTAAACTTCAAATTTTTTTAATGTTTTACTAAGTCTTTGGGCATCGATTTCTTACTCAAAGAGGTTATATAAGATGTTAATGACTCTATATTGATGTATAAAGGACCATGAATTAGTAAATGATAAAGTGTATAACAGTTACACGTATGAGTTATGATTCCGGTTAAGGAGATATTATTGATGTGATGTCGAGTTGTGCGACAATCATGAGTTTTTTCTCGGATTGATGAGTGATAAACGGGTTGACAAGTGACCTCCAATTTTAGGAGCATCACAAGTTGTGTTCGTTGGAATCTTGAAGATTAAAGTGCTATTTCTCAATAACATAAAAATTTATTCTATTTTGTGAGACAGTTGCTTATCAACCTTGAGCACCGAAAGATAGCAAATATGTCTTAAGGAGATTGTATTTTACAAGGCTTGAATTATATATTCTGGTTTTCTTATTAATTATTCGTGCAGATTTGTGTCCTTACGAGTGCACTGATTTTGATTTCTGTACATTCTGTTTAGATTAATATATAAGTTACACTTTATACAGTTTTATATAATCTAATTATATATATATATTTTCTCTAACATTATTTCTCATGGTCCTATTTTTTTGTTTATGAAGACTAAATATTCTTAAGACAAATGTGTCCATCTGACATAAAATTAACACAAAATTATTTTATATAAAGTTAGTTTTAATGTATTCGAGTCCTAATAAAAAAGACCTACCCAACACACTCGAAGTATCAAAAATGGATCATTAGTTTGTTAGGTAGTAGAAGTAAAAAGAAAACAAAATATAAGGACTTATTGACAAATACTTTACAATGCGAGGTCTTTCCAGTGAACCCATTAATTGCCTAAAGAAAAATTATACTTTGCCCCCTTCATTATTACCATTTTTTATATTATTCTCTCAACTATCAAAATTTTGACATTATACCCTCAACTAGTTTTCACATCAACATAATTAGGGATGTCAGAATACAACACAACGCGAAATTAGAAGATATGAGTCTTTCTTAAGTCACCATTTTTATAAACGAATAAATTTAACACAATACAATTAATAAATAATTGAGTATGAATGAAGCTAATAAAAAAATATATCATATGACTCATATATATACCTGTTATATACAATTTATATATAACTAGATATAACATAATTCGTTAGATATGAATTAATAAATTAATTAAATATAAAATATTTTTTAACATGAATCCACTAAGATCTGATATCAACCCGCCTTATCCCAATATGATTGACAAACTTAACTCTAACTCTTAACATCTATTATATATTTAATGAAAAGTTGTTTTATTTTGATTTCAAACTATGTAATTTTTTTATTTTGTCCCGATATGTTGGTCGTTTTCGTCCAAAAAGATATAGGACATTTGTAACTGGGGTAATATGAAAAATTCAATAATTGAAAGGAAAAAGTAAAATCGAATCCATAGGGTAAGAGTAAATGTGTAATTTACCCATTTCCTACCAAACAAGAATAAGACAAATAAAAAGGGTGGTGGGAGTTGATCGATTCCACCAACCGTCTGAATAGAAATCGGATTTTTCCTCCGTTTTCTGCCCTTTCCTCTTCTTTCCATAATTCTTTTCTTTGATTTGACACCTCTCTCTCTCTCTCTCTCTCTACACTTTTCTAGGGCTGTTTGCTCCTCCTCCTCATATTCTCAGCCTGTTCACACACCAAACTCTCTTCTTCCTCAACTCTACCAATACATCTACATAGAGAGAGAGAGAGAGAGAATACTAGCAATGGCGAAGGATTTGGTTTCTTCATCTGAGAATCTAGCCATTTTGCATACGCCGTCGTCTTCGGGAGTTGCTGTTGCTGATGACAGCTTCGAGGACGCTTGTAGTATCTGTCTCGAACCTTTCAGCTCCGACGATCCCGCCTCGGTATGATCCCCTCTCTCCCTAGGCATATCAATATGTGTATATGTGATCATGCATTAGTGTCTAGTGATGTTTTGTGTATCTAGATTTCACAAAGTTTGGGGCTTTTTTATGCTTGATTGACTGAACAGGACAATTGGAATGACTATATCTGAAATTTTGAGTGGTTAAAATCACAATGGCCGGAGTCATAAGATCTTTTGAATTGCTGATATGGAGACATTTAAGTAAATAGATTTGAGACTCATAGCTATACAGATGGCCTTGGGTGTGTGGACTCTAGAGCAATAAGGATATTGTTAGTTTTGATTATTTTCACGGATTTATTCATCAGAACTTCAGAAGTGATTAAATCAGTGATTAATTTGGAAAATACAGTTGGATTAACTAAATGAAATTGATTTTTAAATTGGAAAATACAGTTAGATTAACTAAATGAAATTGATTTTTGATTATCTTAAATCATAATGAAGTTTCGGGGTGACTAATTGTTAATATAGTCTTTCTGGGGTTAAGAATCTAGAAATCCAAAAGAAAGTTATTCTTGTGCTGTTTCAACCAAACAGGAGTATTTAAATGTTAAATCATAATCGATATTCAATGACCAATTCATCGAAAATCATACTCAGTTTAAAAAATCGAAACCAAACGTAACTTCCTTAATTTGCCCATCCTTGGACTAATATGCTTATAGTTGATTTTTATATGTGATTTTCAATGTATCTGCCACTTATAAAGCTGGGGCCTATTGATTTTTCAGTGTCCAGAGAGGTAAAATCTGAATGATCTCATTGTTGATCCTTTGGATTGCATAAGCAGGGTTAATTATAGTGGCAAGCAGTTTAGTGCTGGCAATAACCTTTATTTTGTTTTCAGGTTACCAGCTGCAAGCACGAGTATCATCTTCAGTGCATTCTTGAATGGTAGGGTTTACCATCTTGATATTAAATTTAAATAAGCTTAATAATTCTGGGCAAACACTACATCCACATGCAGTTGTGCACAATCAAGTGGTGTGTACATTGCAGTTACCCATTATTAGTTGAATGAACTTGTTTCTTTCCAGGTCACAAAGAAGCAAAGAATGCCCAATATGTTGGCAGATTCTTGGCATGAAGGATGCTGCAAGGTAGATAATTTTTACAAAAACCGGAATACACACCTGTGCACTGTCAAAATGCTTCGTATCAATCATTTGCGTCCATCAAATCTGGGTTCATCGTTATAACATTTTCTATGTCATTTACTTCTCTTCTAAGTTCTAACCTTTATTTGATTTTTGTCTCTAGTCAAGAGCTTTTAGCAGCAGTTGAGAATGAGAGAACCTTGAGGTCAAGGCGTACTGTTCACCCAATCGATGAAGACCATGATATCAATCAAGTGGGTTATGCCTTTAGACTTGAAGTTTTTCTCTTGATTTACTTATTCGTTTGGCTATTTCTTTCAGTTCCTGGGTAGCTTGATCATTAAAATGGAATCTTTCAGGAAGCTCCTTACATGGATGATTCTGACTTTGAGGAGCAAATTATGTGGCATTTCGCTGCTGCTGCAAGCAGATCTCGCTACATAAACAGAAGGGGAAGGCAGAGGTCTTCAGGAATTGGTTCTTCACAAGTTCTTCCTGCTGCTCCAATTGCAGATGTGCCCAATGTGCAGCAAATGTATACCTCTCCAGAAGAGCGCCAAAATCCAGGTCATGGGTTCTTAGCAGTGGATTCACCAGCTTGTAGCACACCACATACTACCATTGATCAATATCCACCATCTGTGGTTCCACCTGTTATGAATACAGTATCAAACTCTGCTGGAAACAGTGATAGTCCTGCCCAGGCCAGGTATTTACCAAAATTTTTATTTATGATTAATGTGTATATATACACATATATGTATCTTAATGAATTGGTTTCATTTAAACAAGGGACTACATTCCATATCAGGTTACAGTCGAACCTTTTCTGTAATAATCCACGTGGTTGAACTGAATTGTGTATGTGGATGAGTGAAGCTTACAATAAAAGTTTGTTGCTACTTGCTAGTGATTGTTCCATGTCTCTTTATTTTAGAATGCATATACTGTGACTAAGAGATTGTTTGACACTATTCAGTGCTTTTGACAGTAAGCCAACCGCTGATAGTCAGCCAAGACGAAGCTCATCTGACTTTCTCACTTTGTCGGAGTCCATTAAATCTAGATTGTCTACTGCCTCAGCCAGGTAGCTGTGTTTCAGGTTGTTTTTCTTTTCAAAGCGGATGCTGGCTTAGTTTTTGCTGAGATGTATGGATCATCAACACAGGTACAAGGAATCAATCTCAAAAAGTACACGAGGATTCAAGGAAAAATTACTAGCTCGCAATAACTCGGTAAAGGAATTGAGCAAAGGAGTGCGGCGTGAGATGAGTGCAGGAATTACTGAAGTTGCAAGAATGATTGAACGTATAGACATTACTTCAAAACGATCTGGAGTTTCTGCTCCCTTATCCAATCCCGCTGGAGGAACCTCAAACTCATCTCATAAAGGAAAGGGTTTGCATGGGAATGAGTCTTGTCATGGAAATACTGGGGAAACTGCACATAACATGTCTTCAGATGCACCCATATCTGTCTCCATCACCACTCCAGGTCGATTGGAAGTTTCTCTTACACAGGTTTGTGAACTTTACTCTCCCCGTGTTCTGAGTAAATCATTTTGCTTGAATGCTTGCATGTCTTCCTTAGTTGAATGGAGATTACTTACACTTACACGAGTGTATGAGTTATAGGGAATTGTGATGTCATATATGTTATTGGTTTCAACAATTTTATAACTTATGTACTTGAAAATTTTAAATTTCACTTCATACCACGTTTGAAGATCACTGGCCTTTTGGATTCTCATACTTTCATCTTGTTTAGAATGAGCATCTTCATTCTAACCTAAATATGACCTTTGCTGTAGTTCAATCCTACTATAATTTGCTTTTGTGCCCTCTCTTACTTTCTCTTCATAGGGTGGAAACCAACGTTGCTGAGATCAGGATGAGGAGTCAACTTTGACATGCGTATTATCATCCAACAGAAGGCATTTCATGCAAGTGATGGGTATTGAAGAATCAACCCCACTCGTAGATAGATGGTTGGTTCGCGTCCTGCATTAGTTCTTCTAAACATATACATCCGTCTATGGTTAGGAGAAATTAGTCGCTGTTTCCACCTACTGTTAACCTAAAATTCATGACCTGTATCAGTTGGTTCCTATATAATGCTGTAGAATATGGTAAGAGCACTGAAGGAGAGATTTTTCATACTCGCGTTTGCTTCCCATTTCCCATGTTTTTTTTTTGTCACTGAATGCAGTAAGATCCGATAGACGAATGGTATCAGTAACCTTACATACTTAGATGGCTATGGACACAACTTTTCTCCTTAGTGTTTTAAAGTATTTTTTTTCGAAATAGAATGGTATGAATTTGAGTTTTTGGTTTTTTCTTTGTTCGGATTTACCCCTCTTGAGAATGTTGAAGCTCAGGAGGTTGATGTCAACAAGCCTATGCTGATATACAAGAGCTACATACAACCATCCCCTTTTGGTTAGACACTATTACAGGAAGGGAACAATAAGGTTCAAACCAGCAGTCAAAGGTAGTACAAAAAAAAAAAAAAAAAAATTAACAGGCTAAGGTGGTGGCCATTAGCTAACCTCTTCCCATTGAATTTTTACTCATACATCTTACAGTAATCAAGTTTTGAGATTTTGATGTGGTTAAATGTCCATACCAACCAGGCATACCAGCCAACATTGTAAAGCACCAATAAAGTAGCAAAGTACTCACTGTTAATACAAAAGAAAACGTCAACAGTGCAGACCTCTAAATCTGCCTCATCCGGTTGATATTCGGATCTGACTTCATATATTTTGCAAGCGTGATGTATCACTGAGCCCAATTTATTTCCAGAAGAGTAAAAGTGACAATAAATTCACCAGAATTAATGTACGATGGCAACACTATAATCAGTAACCACACAGCTTCTGTTTCTATGGGCCTAAAAGAAAATATGCATGTAAAAATATCTTGCATTCGTGTGATTCCATGAAACTGATGCGGCTTTAGATCTGTCCCAAAATCACTTCTCCACCAGAAACCTTGAACTCCGATGGCGCTGTCTCCACATTAAGAATCTTCACCTTCCCATCAACCACGTATGCTGACCATCTGCATAGAACAGCAGTAATGTTGCACACACTCGAAAAATTATTGTAGATGGAGTGCCAAGAATGTTACAAGAAAATATTGTTCTTTAACCAAAATGGATCAATAATAGCATGGAAACGCATGCATGGTCTAGTGCTATGGAAATTTTATCACATACCTATGGGAGCGAGGTCCAAGCAAAGCACCAGAGAGATCTATTGTTAAGTCCAGACTCTCGTGGAAGCTAGCATCGAAGTCACCATAAAATTCAATCTACGTAGACAAAATAACAAAAATTCTACCTTCGGTCAAATCAGCTCAGTTCATTATCATTTCATGAAACAGAATGCCATCAAAGCAGTACAGAATCATATGAAAGTGCCACCCATCATGTATGAAGAAAAGGGAGAAGTTTCTTGGGCAAGGCAACAAAGAAATAGTTGATCATGAAATTTGATACATCATGCATAACATCCCAAAACCAATAATTCCCTCCTCTTCACATTTAATGCTCAATAAAACAGCATGCATTGGCTCTCATCACCAAACAAATCTTAGACTTATTACTGCAATGTATACGATTTTTGAAGTTTGAAGATATTGCACGACGGGAATAGACCGTTCATGAGGAAAATGGAACAGTTATGCTATCACAAAACAGGAAACCGCTGTATCTAATGGTCAGTGGATCATGCAGCCCAAAATGTTCAAGAAGCCGGCTTTGCAAGAATTTAGTCAAACTCCTCTTAGTGGTAAAGCAGTTACAGGACAGGGCATTATAAAAGTGCATGATTTTTGCTTCTAACCAGCGGCTTGGCAGAGGCTAGGAGCCAACTTACAGGCGAAGTTGTATAGATTATGTGATTGTCAACCTAATTTCCAAAATTGTTGACGTTAATTTCTTCCCCATACCGTTTATTCTACTAGCTGTCTAGCCACCAGGATGAACTATGAATGGTGTCAAATAGATGTTATGTTTCACATTCGCATAGCTCATGAATGCTGCCTACTACCTGGATGTCAAGAATCCCACCTTACATTTTCGCTTTTATTCATACTTGAGTGACAAATGATTTTTGGGTTATAGTGGCCAAAGGCTATCCAGCGAGTCAGTACACAGCTCCTGACAACAATACATTAATGCAACCATTTCTTCCTGCAATGTGAATGAATCCCACTTGAAACTTGGTCCCTCTTCTCCAACCCCCCCTGCACGCCGGGGGGGGGGGGGGGGGGG